CAGCTCTGCCTAAATCTGGAAACGTCTCCACCTGAGCTGGGCTCCCCCAAGTTCAGCATTCCATGCGATTCCTCGGCATGCTCATCCCGATCCCACCCAGCCTCAGCCCTCTGCTCTATCCTCAAGCCGGACATACTAACACAGTGGCCCCATCAATCAGCTGAGCGAGTCACGCAGTTAATAAATACATAAAAATAAAAAAGGGAAGCGTGTTCTGAACTGTTTGTCATGCAAAGGAACCTCTGGTTTCGCCTACATGGGGAGAGCAGAGCAACTGCCTGATATGTCTGTTTTTTAAAGCAGACTGAAGCCCAGAGGATGTCTGCTCAGTCTAAAGAGGGAGGAAAAAGAGGGAAAAATAAGTCTTGGGCTCTCGTTTCTAAGTGCAGAGCCCAGCCCCTGTTCTAACAAAACCTTCCAAGTGCAATATCCGTATGATAGGAGCACGGGCAGCGCCGAGCGCTGAAATGAAAAGCAGCAGTGGCTGTTTATGTTGGCAGCCGCTTCAAACTCTAATGGAAAATTTCAGCTCTGACTGCATCAAGGCTGGAGCGAGTTATTAAGGAAAAAGGTTCGGCTTTCAAACAGAAAAGGCTTGCAGCGCTTGTCCCTATTTGAACACTCTCCTGTAGCACAGAGAAATCAGGAAAAAAACGTGCCAGGTCCACACAGAGCATTTATATCCCGTCGGGATACAAGGGAACGGAGTGCTCAGGAGGAATGCGCTTCCTCTGGGAAGGGAGGGCAGCCAGGAACAGCCCCCGCGCCACCCCAACGCAATTACACACGGCCACTGCTGAAAATAAGTTATGCCACTCCATGTAAATATTAAAAAACTAACGCAGGGCTAGCTCATCACTTCACACTGAGGGACTGCAATATATTCACCTCATCACTGCACTCTTTTTTTTTTAATCAAGTAAAGCTGCTATTTGAACAATTCTGCCGAGGGAGAATCGTTACCTTGGGCCTGCGTTTCTGTTTGCTGCCACCAACAGCGGAGGGTTCTGCTGTGCGAGGACAAACGCGGTGCCAGGCGGCACCGGCAGCCACCTTCCCCCCACCACACTGTATTTAAGAGCTACTCAGGAAGCCAATATCGTATATTATGTAACACAAGATTAAGCATTAATGAGGCAAGAATAAAATTGTTTATCTGAAGCCCAATCTAAAATTAAACAGAAGTTTATGCTGAAAGCTCACGCTGCACACATTTGGTCTCCTAACATTAACAGAGCAGAGCTTATTTAGTCTCTGAGATAAGTCCCAACAGCATTTAATTTGGGCAGAAGGATTTTTACTGCCAGAAGAGAGAATATTTTTCCTAAAGAAGAAAACGATGCATATTTAGCTCTCAGGAGCATAAACAATGGAATGCATTGCAGGTATTTTGATCCAGGGAAAGCAGCTGATAGTCACTGCTTTTATTAACACGGCATTTCAAAGCTAAATACAGATCCATCCTCCCAGAGGCGAGACCTCTGGGTCACACTCTGCCGGCTCCTGCTCAGCCGCCAAACCAACACGCACCAAAGATGCCTATGTGCTCAGGAGGGAAATTCAGAGCAAAACTCCACCGAGGCCCACGCGCCTCCACAAGGATCCACTGTCCTCTTCCAGCCAGGCCAGGCCCGCTGGAGGCTCAGGGCCGGGAAGGAGATAAGCAAGGAGGCCATGGAAGGCCATAGCAGCCACTCGAGAATCTCACCACGTCCACGTGGGTCACCCTGGGTTTATAAACGGGCCAAGGAGGGGGAAAAGCCCCCAGGATGTGTTGCCACGAGCAATTCCGCAGCTCCAGTGCCAGCATGTGCCATTGGTACCCACTGATACAGCTTGTTTTGGCCCCTGAGCCCCGCGAGGTGGCCAAGGGGACGGTCTCCTACGCGGCCAGCGCGAAGGATTTAAATCCAACCGAGCCCACATGAGGGAGTGCGGGAAAGCACAGCCGGGGGAAAGGAGACTGCTGCTTCCTGCAGAACAGCCTTAAATAGCTCAAGATGACTGTGAAACTGCACCCTGAGCGAGGCCACCGAGCGACCTGCCCCAGGACAGACTGGATCGGGACCAAGCCCTCAATGTGGACAAGCCGGCAGCTCCATTTGGCATCTCTCTCCTCTTGCCCTGTGTGCATGGGGTGCCCAGGTGCTTGTCCTTGTCCCATGGCTCTCTTTACCCCCTGCTGTTCCTGAGACCCTAGGAAGTCCAGCTCCAAGCCCGCAGGCGTTTAAGGCTACTTATCTTGGGCCTATTGCAGCGGCACTTCTGCAGGTCTCCAAGCCAGGCAGCTCCTTAATCACCTAAGGAATTCGGGGCACTAAGGAGCATTTTTAATGCTTCAAGTGTCCCGCATTACCAGATTTTGAGCAAATAAACCCAAAGCAGGTAAAACAAACCCAGAGGAACAGCATGTACAAAGGCAAATCCGATCACCCGCAGCCCTGGCCGCTGCTCCGCGAGGTCAATGCTCGAGCGCGGCCGACGCTCCGCGTGGGCCCGAGGCCCCGTTCCGGCAGGGACAGGTGCCAAACACGGGACTTTCTTCAGGGAACATTAACCTGGAGCAACGAGGGCCCGGGCAGACGTTCCTCGTGATGCCTCATCACGCATTTCCACCACGTTCCTTATCTGCCACCCTGTGCTGCTCCAGCTGCAGCTTAGGGAGGTATTTGGGAGAGCTGTCCCCCAGCAAGAGCAGCATCCACAGAAATGTCTAGAAAAGGCAGCATTATACAAGAAGCATGATCTTAGGGAGATTTAACTTAAGTGGATTTTTCTGAGAGGGAAAAACCCGGCTTTCCTCCCTTCAGACTTCAGTGACTACTTAGGTTGACTAATAAATTAGAAATGTATAGGCTGCATTAACCTAGAGCCTGGTTTGCATTTAGGGCAAGTAACTTCAAGAATGCCGCTGACATTTTAGAGCAGCTTTTGCTGGGCTTGGGAGTTGCTGCAGAAGTTCCCTCATGTGCATGTAGTCATTTTTAGGCTGAATTTCACCTCATATTAATATGGTGGCTAAAAAAGGAAAATAAGGCCTTTTTTCTAGCATTTCTGCTTCTGGAGGGTTAATTCACACTGCGATAGAAGTATGCAAAGTGATGAGAAAAACACAGTCAAGTTAATGCCACTGCCTTGTAATCAGCAACGATCCTTACTCCATTCTACAGAGGGCAAGCAAAACTGGGGAGTCAAATATCACTTACTGGAGTCTTTGCTCTGTATATTTTACTAGAGCAAAACCACTGCACATTTTATGAGCAGAAGATTGGGGACACTAGAAGGGACAAAAATAGGAAATTGAGACTAGCAATCTGCAGCAGGCCAAAGGTTCCCCGTGGATCAGCTACCCCGAGGGGCTAAAACAGCTCAGGCTGTCACCACGGTGCAGCCCCGTGCTCAAACTTAACACGTGCTCTGCTCTGCACCACAAATTTAGGCCTAATGCAACAAAATGCAAGATTCAAAGGGCACCCAGGCCTTGAGGCGTTTCTACCCAGGCCATAGGGCTGCTCTCCGGGTCCAGATGTGGCCGTGAAGTGGCAAAGGGGAGTCCGCGGGGTCACGCAGACGTCCCCAAGTGGCAGCTCCTCAGCTTGGATTTTCCTATCTCCTGCCAACTGCTTTTCTCTTCTGCAAACACCCACTTCATGCTTGAAAGCTTATTTCAGAGCACACGAACGAAAACAAACTTTACAAGAATAATTCATCTCTCGGTAACTTTATTACCAGAGAAACGTGGTTCTAAATTAAACACCAATTTATCCTAACTACATTCCTGCCAGTTACTCTGATGAGGAGAGGGGGCCCGACGAGGCTCGCCACGGGCTGGATTTGGTTCGTTTTGCTAAGCAGAACACGATTCCAGCCTCCTTTTCCAGCAGCGGGCCCTGGTGCCCCGAATCCCATCCGAGCACCCAAGTCCGCGCTGGTTTGGTGCCCTGCTCCCAACTCCGCTATCGCTCGCGGCGAGCTCGCCGCCTCGCTCGCGGTTATTAAATATTTACCAGGGAAAGGTCGCGACGCCTCGGTACCCCGCCACGACGCCGGGGAAAGGAGCAGGGGACCGTGCCATGCACCGAGCAAGAGGCTTTTAAAGGGTTTTACAGTAACCCTCTCGCCTGCCGAACGCCCAAGTTACGCACAAAAAAAGGACCAGGCGATCGTCTCAGTTACGCTTTAAATAAATATTTTCCAGCTCGCTAACACAAACGCATTATTGTTACTTATGAGAAGAGTCCCTGTAACTCTGCGTTAATTATTACCCTCCCTAAATTCAGGACAAACACGAAAGCTGCTTTCCAACCCCCCCCAGCAGTTCGGTGACACCTGCAGAACAGAAACCGAAGCTTCTAGAGAGGCCGGGCAATTAGGACTAATGGAAAACTAACTAGATTCCCGGGCTTCCCGAGCCCCCCGTCCTCCGCAGGAGTTGGCCACCCCTCCCGGGCCATCTCCTTCCCAAGGAGCCGGCAGGATTCCATTGGAATTGGACGGTTAAGGAGCTCCACGAAGTTCAGCTCCACAAATGAGACCCGCAAGGAAAGTTGCGCGTTGGCCGCTGGGGGCAAACAAGGGGTTAAACAAAACCACCAAATCGCGCAGCTCCGAGGAGCAGCCGGCACCAGCCTCCCCCTTCCCGGTTCAATTAGATTCTGTTTTGTTTTTGGCTTTCTTTAATTACCCGCTGCCATTTGAGCCCAACTCGGTGACACGGAGGCATTATCCCCCCCTTAATGTCAGAATTTAAAATAGATCGGGCTCCGTAAACACCCCGCGTCCAACCCCGGCGACTCCCGCGGCAGCTATTTTATGTAACGCCGTCCACCCGCAAGCCCTAAAAAGCACACACGACACCGCCGCGACCTTTGTTAGCTCGGGATTTTTTTTCCCCTGCGATGATCCGAGCTGATTCAGGGGCTGCACGGACAGTTTTGCGAGCCGAAGCGCTGCAAGGGCAGGAGGGAAAGGCGAATTACATAAAGTCCAAAGGCACTCACGGTCTCCTTGTTGGGCAGCAACTCCTTGCGGATCCTGAAGAAGTTCTTGCCGTACTGCCTCAGCCCCTTGATGAAGCGTTTCTGCGGTGAGAGACTTTGGGGTGGCCAGGGGTGCCCTGGGCAAGGAGGTGACACTGAGATGCCAGAGATGGCCCCCATGAGGGGCCCCTGCCCAACACGACTTGCTGGGAGCCACCAGCCCCATCAAACCAGGGTCCTGCTCGGTGACAGCCGCCGCTGCGAGGAGGGCACCGGGGCTGCAGCATCTCCTGCTCCTCAGAGCACCGGACACGGCCACCACGGTGACTAGAAGTCAACAGTGGCTTTGCCACCACCACGGGCAGCACGGGGCGGCCTGCCGGTGTCTCACGCCAAGGGGAGAGCCGAGCCGGGGCTCTCCGAGGTGCCAGGAGCCATCGCTCCTCTGTCGCGTTAGGGACAAGTCCCTGCGGCTAGAATAGGCCCCAGCAACTGGTCTGAAGGGGCTGTCAATGCACCGCAAGAAACCTGCATATTCCTTAGCTAGAAACCAGCCTGGGCCTCTCCTGGAGGGCAAAGGGAGCCATTCTTATTAACCAGTGCATGCGAAAAAGCAGCATCATAAACGTAGGAATTTTATAACCCAATAATCTATTTTTTTTAATGAAAAAACATATCCCAGATTCCTATGCTTGTACTAGTCTCACACTAATTCAGGTATCGCACTCAGATCTTGCCATAAGAACCGCCACGTCTTTTCTCCAAGTCATGCACAAAAAAGGCCTCTTAAATTTTTAAATATAAAAGAACCAAGCACACAGTTCCAGAGCAAATCCGAAGCGACCTGTTGTGCTGTGAGACAGGCTGCCTAACACAGTTTGAATTTTCTCACCTCTCCACAAATCACACGCAACAGATCTCATCTCTGCATTTTAATGGGGAGACGCTGCACTCTGCCTGCAAAAGGCATCTGGAAACGAGAGCTGCTAGATTAAAATAGCTTTAAAATACAGGGCTGGTCGAACACTGGGCCTTAATCCTATGGATGCATGAGAAAGGAGCAGGTTTTATAAAGCACGCAAGTGGCTTTGAAGGATAATGGTTGAAAAAGCCAAATTCACTACTTTCAAAAATGCACTTCAGTTTTACCACGCGTTCTTAAATTTAAAACCTTATTTACTCCAGAGCGCTGTCAAGCATGACTGCACTGTTCACAGACAACAACCTGCAACAGAATTTACATAAATGCTAAGAGTAATTATTGCCGTGAAGCAGCATCAGGAAATCCCGTGGCTCCCCAGGTCAGCCGGTGCTGACAGACGACAGTTCTATTTTATGAAGTGGTTACCATGGCTATTGACCAGCCCCAACACAACATCTCCTACTGCTATTCTACAATTTGAGCTTCTCCAATGTAATTTATTAGGTTCTACAGCATCCTGCTCCAATGTGTAAACAGGGAGCTATAAATAAGCACGCAAGAACGCGGCGCAAGCATGTTAATGTTTGCATATGTGTTGCTTGCAGGTCCCTTATATCATCCCCAGAAACAAACACCCTGACAAGACGCACAAAGCCATTAGGTTGTGACTAAGAGCGCTCGGATGGCGTGTTTATCAACACGCCGACGGTGCCAGCGCAAAGCTGTGGGTCACGTTATGCGTCAGGGTTTCTATTATCAAGAGATTACAACCTGGCAGCGAAAAATTTACCGCCGCGCGCTGAAAATTTGCACGCTGAAATTCTGCACCCCGGGTTGCAGCTGGGAACCGAGGGGCAGCTTGGTTTTCTTATTTACTGGAGAAATCTAAAATAAACCTGGCTTGAAGAGCACGCAAGAAAAACATAATGGCTTAAAAAACTCACTACACAAAAACATGCAACACAAAATAACCTGTTTAATCCATTAAAGAATTTCAAATCAAAGCCTCACGGACTTCAAAAAGCAAGAGCACTCCGACAAAACTGTAACTTCGTAACTGCTACTAATACGGCCCCTCTGAGGTGATGCTTCAATCGGGTTTGCATCAAATGTATTTTCCAAATGTATTTTCTCTTTCTGTTATTTCATGCCCTTCCCACAACTCCCAGGTGGCTAATTAATAAAAAGTCTTTTGTAATGTAATATATTTACAAACATACGCAGACCATTTCTGCTCCTATTTAATCCAAACCCTAAGCATTTTTACTCAGTTCTGAAAAATCCCCTCTTCAAACCATGTCTGAGAACAGAAAGTTCCTCTCTCAAAGCTTTCCTTAAATTATGAGCATATAAAAACGAAAGTTATAATGGAAATCCCAGTGTGATTTTCACTACATATTTTGCTATCATGAAAGGGATAAAGTTAGAGCATATTTTTCAAAAGGCCTAAGCTTTTCCAGGCAGTTACCAAATTCAAGCTGGCATCTTCCAAATTTAATAGACCTCAGTTAGTTTCACAGCAAACGTGGTAAGAAGTTTTAAGGAGTTTCAACAGTTAACAGCAAATAAAAGCTAAATGCAGAAAGCATCTTGATTTCTTAAATTGCACAAGATTAAAAATTATGTCAGCTGTTCTGAAAAGGAAATGAGATTTGGTTGCATCTGCAAAGCTCCTCTTGGCGTGCAACACATTTATAGATTGCCCCAAACAGTAATTTTTTTTAGCCGGCAGACATTGTATATGCGTATTGGCTGAATTTCAGTACATAGAGTACATTTTATTAAAACCTTGGCTGGCTTTTAACATTGTATTTATGTGTATACAGCGCAAATGAAGATATTTGCTGATAAGGTTAAAAGCTACATATTATCCTCCAGGAACAGGAATATCCTCGTAGCTTCCTTAAGGTGACACTTAAACATGGTTTAACCTAACGATCCGAAGCAGCTCCTACAAATCAGAGCTCGATTCCCAAAGACTCCATGTGGCTGTAGAAGAGCAAGGCTAATGTCTGTGGGTGCAGACATTAAAATAAGGAATTGCGGGTGCTTGGGGAGGCTGCGGGAGGGAGACGCAGGCGGGGACAGAGGGTAGGATGAGGGGGAGGCTCTTAAATTAAAGCCAAGAGGGAGCACCCATGCCCAAAGGCACCTGCAATGGGGCAGCACCGGCCCCACAGCCCGATGCCCTGGGCTCCGGCAGCTGGGAAGGAGTCGGGAGCGCTGGGAAGGGGCTGGGAAGGAGTCGGGAGCACTGGGAAGGAGCTGGGAAGGAGTCGGGAGCGCTGGGAAGGGGCTGGGAAGGAGTCGGTCCCGCTGGGAAGGAGCTGGGCAGGAGGCAGCCCCGCTCCGGCCGTGCCGTGTTCCCTGAGCGCGCCCCGCTGCCGGGAGCACAGGATGTGTTTCAGCCTCGGCTGAACTTCCTTTGTTTTATTGCTTCCTGTCACAACCATAACTCCCTTTAATGTTTTTTTTTTTTCATTTTGAAGTAGCCAGCAATTTCGCCCTTAGTAGGGGATACTTGTGCGGCTCTTCATTACCCTGGCTAACAGCAAGCTTGCAAAAATCACCTGGCTGGCAAAGTTATTTCAGTGCAAGACCCTCCGTACGGCTTCCCGGGGCATCATCTGCCTTCTGCCTCCACAAAGGTGAAGTTTACTCCTCTCAGCCAACCTTGACCATCTTTTCATCTATTTATTTCTCTTCCTAATGGATTACAATGGAGAAATTCTACGGTGACAAGAAAGGGTCGACCTCTTAAGTTCTGTGGTATTTTGAAAACGATGTTGTTTTGTTATTTCTTACTCTTTTTGAATATAGTGTGGAAATGTAAAGACATTTAGATGGCATCCATTAAGATACCAGTCTATATTAAAGGCATTAATGCTCTCATCATACATCCATACCAGCCGAGTACCCCGCTGGGCATCTGCATAGATAAAAATCACATATCACTTAACACCATATGCCGTATCAAATAACCTTTATCAACAGAAGCTGACAAGAACTCCATCAGCTGAAGGACTGAAGATGCTGAACATTCTGCCTTCCCTCCCTACAGCATCACTTCCTTTTCCTTAAACCCTGTGGAAAATTAAACCCTACCTCACACCCTGCGGGAGGGATTCGGGACCAAACGCTCGTACGGATGTGGGGGGCACCAGAACCTGCTCCGCGTATCCATCACCATCGACACAGATGGAAAATCATTCGGCCGCCTTCCTCAAGGGAATGCCGGTGGATCCCGAACCCACAATGCTGCCCTTCCACAGGGCCGCTCTGGTGCCTTTTGTTGGCAACAAGAGATCTCCCAGGGCACCTCCTGCTTGCTCAAAATATTGGTGTTAAGTGAGCACGAGCACAGCTGTGTGTAAATTACATATACAAACAGATTAGATTTGTATATTTATACTGCGTGCAAACACATTAATAGCGCATTTGCATACACAGTTGGCTAAATGAGGTTGCATGCGGAGTGGGATTACTAGTTGCAAGCACGTTTGTTTGGAATTTCCAATAGGGATTTATATTGCCGTTCAGGAGGGCAAAGTGGACCCCCCTCACCCTTTGCAGGATGTAAAAACACCCTCATTCTCCCGCACTGCCAGCCCCTCGGGATATCTCCTTGGGAACAAGCTGCCGAGGCAAAGGTTATCCGCGTTCCCTTGGGATCAGCTGAGCGGAGCTCACGCTCCACGGGCGCAGGAGCCCAGCACGAGCCGCTCACAAAACTCTTCTCCTCCCTCCTGCACCTAATGTCGAGGATTGATGAAAAAAACAAGAAAAGAACAAAAAAAAACCCAAATCCATCCAAAAGGCAACCCGATATTGAAGGCGACATGAGAGCTCTGAGGCTTTTCCGCAGCCGGCGGAAGCTGCTGCCAGGATTTCACCCTGGCTATTTTTATCAAGGGATGGATTTCAGCTCCCTCCCCAAGCAGCTCTGCAGATTTGAGTCCCTTCCTGCTCCGGAGCTGGTTTTTGGGGGACAAAACAAGGGGACAGGGCATGTCCCCGGTGCCGAGACACCCGCTGCGAGAGCGGCCCGCGGCGGCGCAGAGCAGGAAGGGCTCGATACTAAAGCAGCAGCAGGAGGGGAAAAAATACACACAAAATATATATATACACACTATATATATACACACACACTATATATATATATATTTATATATATATATAC